CTGATGCTCTAGGAGCCCTTCCCTTAACCACTCACTATTGTGGGGGACATGATGTTCCGAGTGGCCAGGACCAAGTCACATGCCCACTGCTGGCTGAGGCTCATGAGCCAGGAGTGGGTTTGGGGTCTTTCTCTAGAAAGAACTGGGCCGTCGTTGCCAAGGAGGAAAGAAAGGATGCTGTACAGACAATGCCTGTTGCAAACAGGTGAAGCCCAGAGGCCAGACCAAGATGTATAATAGCTGCTGAGGGAAACCCTGAGGAGGACTCAACCTAATGAACATCGGTCTGCAAGGATGAGCTAGAGGGATGAGGAATCACCAAGGGCATGGAGAGGCATCTATGGGAACAAAAAATGGGAGAGGTGACAAAAAAAAGGGGCTGTCAGGAGGAGAACATGGAACACAGTCCAGGGACACCAGGGGCAGGGGACATCACGAAGACTGTTTGCCCCTCAGAGGCAGTGACGTGGCATCCATTTGGCAGTTACCTCAAAAGGCGTCCACAGAGCAGGAGGACAGAATGCAGGGAGGCGAGGGATAAGCAGTGCAGGGCTGAGGAGATGAACAGGCGGCATCTCACACTTCCCATGAGAGGTGTGCTGGTTACGTCATTTTAACAAACAGGTACCCGGTGCTGGGAGCTCAGCGATTGTGAACAGGGCCCAGAGCCAAACGTTGCGCTCGAACAGCTCCCTGGGTGCTCTCAGCAGCCCCTTGGCAGGGTGCCACTGCCGTCCCCATATTGCGATGGAAAAGCTGGGGTCGCAGAAAATGGAAGCAACTTGCCCAGGCTCGCACACTGCCAAGTGGTGGGACTAGGCCTGGAGGTGAGCCTCTCACTCGGGAGCCCGAGTGCTTCCTCGCTGCCATAGGAGGCACAAGTCGGTATAATAAAGTGCAGATGATGGTGGAATTGAGCAGCTTTGGAAAATTCGTTGTTGCTTTTCACGTTTGTTTTGCTTTGTTTACTCTTTTAGGCAACCTGGAGGGTTTGTCACCCACAAACACCCAGGATATTGGGTGAAAGGAGATGAGAGTTGGTGAGTGCTGAGCTGAAGGCCATGTAGCAGGGTTATTAGCCTTATGGTGGGGAGACCAGCTACCTCCACTGAGGTGGGGAGAAAAGACCTGGGTGTGGAGATGGGGAAGAAGGTGACTGCTGTCTTGTGAGCTTGATCAGGGGGCCTTGATCCTCTCAGAAAGATTCAAGGCAGAATCTTTCACTAAGACAGAGAGGCAATGTTGGAAGAACTAAAAATATTGGCGCAGTTGCCATAGAAATTTCTATGGGCATGTACAGAAGATGAACAAACAGACTTTGGAGCAGCATGACTGAGGTGACATGAGCTGGTGTCAATGTGCAGCAGCTTATCCATGGTTGGCAGTTAAGGGAGGGCTTTGGGGGGAAAGGTAGGGATGATCAGAAGGTAGATTGAAGAGGAGGAAGGTGAAGAACCTTGCTTTGCCAAATCTGTCATCATTAATGCTAGCTCACTAATTCAGGTCACCCTTTTAGGAAACCAAAATGTGCCAGCGTTAAAGGTGCTCAGAGTCAAATCCTGCAGGCGTGGGTTCACCCCATTTTCCAGCTGCAAGAACTGAGGCTGGCCATGGGGAATGGGAGGGCTGCATTTGGTGTCCTTCGGGTGCGTGTTTGGGGCCTATGAGGCAGGCATCCTGGCTGTGGCCGGAGAAGGATGGCTTCTCTGTTAGTAAGTGACAGAGCCAGCGTTCAAACCAGGGAGGCCTGGCTCCAGCCTGTGCCCCTTCCACCGAGCACTTGGGCCTAATGGTGAGTGCCGAGCAGCAGCAGCAAGGCGGCTGGAGGCCACATCCTCACCTACTGAAGAGCTGGAAGCATCTGAGCTTTGGAGATCATTGTCCCAGAGTAAATGATTAAAATTCTGGGCTCCAGGTTCACATGAGCCCAGAAGGGTCTGCCTTCTCAGGCATAGCTGGCTTTCTCTGACCCTGAGCAATAAGCTGAGTGGGGTCTCAGGTTACTATTCTAAGACACCAGCCTCTTCTCAGAGTCCTGTGTCACCTAAATGCACGGTGACATTGATGTAGTGGGCCACATGGATCAGCCACAAACAGCATTTCATCCACTGATTTTTTTTTTCCCTTGGAGGAAACCATGCAAGCTTTCTTCTACTTAATAAAAGAGTGTCTCAAGAGTAGCAATTTGAAAAATATAATATAATTCAATTAAAATCTTACTCCTTTGAATACTCCCAGAGGGGGAAAGCCACTCGGAATTTGTGAGAAATCTAATTTTATAGACTCAGTATTGGGAAATTGAATTGTTGCAGGGACCAAGCAATGGGGATAGAGGCAGGAGAATCTGGGCTTCATCTTCCTCAGCAGCTCATTTCATCTCTCTGAGCCTCAGTTTCTTTGCCTGTGAAATGGAGCTCATAGCCATCGGTTGGTCTTGTGAGAATAGTAAAGATTGTGCATGTAAATAGCATCTTGCTACTGCTTTTTCCTGCCTACAGTTATCCAGCTCAGCAAGCCCCTTCTTTAAAAGAAAAGTCTGTCTGAGCAACTGAACAATAAAAGCTAAGCACAGACACAGGGAACAGGAAATACCTTTTAAAAAAAAAAAAAGTGATTTTAGAGGGAGAGAGAAAAATATATATATATATCTACTGCCTCCTGCACACCCCCTACTGGGGGTGGATGTGCCCTGACAGGAATCAAACCAGTGACCTTTTGGTTCACCAGCTGATGCCCAACCAACTGAGCAATACCCGCTAGGACAGGAAATAGCTTCTTAAAGCTCTCCCCCAATCCCACTGCTATGGTCTCCATTGTTTCTAAAAGTATCTCGTGTTATTCAGCACCCAGCCTTCTCTGTTCTATTCTCTTCCACCGTCATTAGTCTGTACAGTTCTCCCCCATTTCTACATCATCTTCTGACTCGTCACAGCCTGTTCCAGCAGCCGGAGTGTGATGAGCAAGGGGGAGAGGGAAGCATGAACCAAAATGTGCCAGGGTTTGTCGGCTGTCATAAGGGTGTGAAGTTCACTCTGATGGGAAACCAAGAGAGCGCTTCATGGAGGAAGGCGACATGAACTGATTCCTGTCTTAAAACATCCCTCTGCTGCTCTGAAAAGGAAGGAAGCGGGAGACTCATGAGAGGCTGGTTTAGACTTCCAGAAGGGAGACGATGGTGGCTTAGACAGGTCAGGAAAAGGTGGAAGTGGTCTGATACTAGATTTCTTTTGAAGATAGAGTCAACAGCATTGATGACAGATGAATTGTGTGGGGTAAAGCAAAGAGGTCTTTCGCCCAAGGGAGCAATGGTGGAGCTATTGATGGAGGTGAAGAACTCTATAGAGGGTGACATGTGTTTGAGGGGAAGATCAAGAATCTGGTGTTCAATGAGGACATGGAGACCAGAGATGTCACTTGAGGGTTGTCATTAAAAACACACACACACACACACACACACACACACACACACACACACACATGATTTCCCTCATCTCTCCTATGTCAGTGTCCTGTCCTCACCAGTACCTTGAGGGACCCTTTCCACTGAAGATGAAGTTGCCCAGCATAAGAATAAGAGGACTCCAGCCTTAAGGTGGCCAGGTTCTGGGTTCACAAGGTAGAAATGCCCCTCTCCTGTGTCCTGCTCAGGTTTGTCACCAAGCCCCTAATGAGGTGGGTGTGGGCCCGGAGTCCCACAGAGTAGCCCATGACTGTAAGTATTCATTTCCTGCCTTGAGCACTCTTGTCAGTGGGACCTACACCCAAGCCAGTGGGAGGACAGGAGGTGACATGCCATCACCTCCATTACCCTTTCCCTGGATGCCAGCTATTCTGTTCCAAACGCTTCTCCTTTAGCCACACAATGAAAGGCCCTATCTACATGAATTTAGATGCTCAACATGGCACAGCCCATTAGTCCTGGAAGGTGTATCTCTACAATGTAGTATCAACATTTTTAAATCATTATTTTGCTCCATCTTTATAGAAGTGGGCAACCTTTCAAGTGAAATGAAGGAACTTCTAATATTGGGATGATGTTTTTCTCCTTTATGCTTCAGTGCATTTTTCTGGATTATCATTAGTGATTTTATTTTTATGAATAGAAACAACAGTTCATAACTTTTTAAAAATATATTTTATTTTTCACAGAGAGGAAGAGAGAGGGATAGAGAGTTAGAAACATAAATGAGAGAGTCATCGATCAGTCACATCCTGCACACCCCCTACTGGGGATGTGCTCACAACCAAGGTACATGCCCTTGAGCAGAATCGAACCTGGGACCTTTCAGTCTACAAGCCGATGCTCTATCCACTGAATCAAACTGGTTTTGGCCATAACTGTTTTTTGATGCCCATACAAATGCTACTTGCTGGACCCAGGAAAGCGTCTTGCTTCTAACATACCAACAATGAAAGTGACTTGAGAGCCTGGTCACATGTCACCTGCAGCTTTCTCTCCACCCCCTACCCACCATTCCCGACCTCAGTACCTTTGCTGCTTTTCTGTATCTGTCTCTAACCGTGACAGAGCGAGCTGCATCTTCATTTGCTTGTTTTGGGCCAGTTCCCACTTCCCTTGCAAGGGAAGGAAGAAAAGAAGCATGTGATCTTTCACTGTGGCATGCGCCCACTCTCACGCCGACCTGGGTGTTGGCTCTGGGTGCCAGCTGAGACGGTCATGGGTGCAGCTTTGAAAGCAATGCTCGTTTCTTTTACCTTGTAGAGAAACACTGACCCTATCTCTGTTCTTGCCCCACAGATACGATGCTGCCTCTTGTGTTTAACCGTTGGAGCAGTTACAATTTTCTGTGCTGAGATCATTCTGGAAACTCAAACACTAGACTTCAGCATTGACGAGAAGCCAAAGTCATCAGAGGGGGGATAAAGCCAAGAGCCTTTCTTTGAACAAACAAATAAGTTTGTTCCAAAAGTTTTACTGCCCCCTCCCTACGTGACCCCCGCCCACCCCTGCCCCAAAATAAGCATCGCACACAGGCAGCATGGCGAGCAAACGAAAATCTACAACCCCGTGCATGGTTCGGACATCCCAAGTCCTAGAACAAGATGTGCCTGAGGAAAGAGACAGGGCCAAAGAAAAAGCGATCGTCACGCCACAGCCTGAAACAGCCAAGGGCAGTTGGGCAGCGGATCCTGACAACTCGTCCAAAGAAAACGAAGTGATAGAGGTGAAATCGACGGGGGAAAACCCGTCCAAGAAGCTCCAGGGCGGGTACGAGTGCAAGTACTGCCCCTACTCCACGCAAAACCTGAACGAGTTCACGGAGCACGTGGACATGCAGCACCCCAACGTGATTCTCAACCCCCTCTACGTGTGCGCCGAATGCAACTTCACAACCAAAAAGTACGACTCCTTGTCTGACCACAACGCCAAGTTCCATCCCGGGGAGGCCAACTTCAAGCTGAAGTTGATCAAGCGCAACAACCAGACTGTCCTGGAGCAGTCCATCGAGGCCACCAACCACGTGGTGTCCGTCGCCACCGGCGGCCCCGGGAGTGGTGACCATGACCCTGGGATCCCGGTGAGTAAAACCCCCATCATGAAGCCAGGGAAACCGAAAGCTGATGCCAAGAAGGCGCCCAAGAAGCCGGAGGAGGCTACCCCCGAGAACCACATGGAAGGGACCGCCCGCCTGGTGACAGACGCCGCTGAGATCCTCTCGAGACTCGGGAGCGTGGAGCTGCTCCAGGAGTTAGGGCACGTCACGCCTTCTGTCCAGCTCCCACCAAATATCAACCTTGTCCCCAAGGTCCCCGTCCCGCTGAACACTACCAAATACAACTCCGCCCTGGACACGAACGCCACCATGATCAACTCCTTCAACAAGTTCCCTTACCCGACCCAGGCCGAGTTGTCCTGGCTCACAGCTGCATCCAAACACCCCGAGGAGCACATCCGAATTTGGTTCGCCACCCAGCGCCTAAAGCACGGCATCAGCTGGTCCCCGGAGGAGGTGGAGGAGGCCCGGAAGAAGATGTTTAACGGCACCATCCAGGCGGTCCCCCCGACAATCACTGTGCTGCCCACCCAGCTGGCCCCCACCAAGATGTCTCAGCCCATCCTCCAGACAGCTTTGCCGTGCCAGATCCTCGGCCAGACCAGCCTGGTGCTGACTCAGGTGACCAGCGGGTCCACCACCGTCTCTTGCTCCCCCATCACACTTGCGGTGGCCGGAGTGACCAGCCACAGCCAGAAGAGACCTTTGGTGACCCCGCAGGCTGCCCCTGAGCCCAAGCGTCCACATGTCGCTCAGGTGGCTCAGGTGGCTCAGGTGCCAGAGCCCCCGCCCAAGCTGGCGAACCTTTCCCTGACCGCGGCCAGCGACCGCAAGAAGACGAAGGAGCAGATAACCCACCTCAAGGCGAGCTTTCTCCGGAACCAGTTCCCGGACGATGCTGAGATCTACAGACTCATCGAGATGACCGGCCTTGCCAGGAGCGAGATCAAGAAGTGGTTCAGCGACCACCGCTACCGGTGTCAAAGGGGCATCGTCCACATCACCAGCGAATCCCTTGCCAAAGACCAGCCGCCCATGTCGGCCACCCCACACGGCCGCACGTACCACGCCTACCCCGATTTTGCCCCCCAGAAGTTCAAAGAGAAGACCCCGGGTCAGCTTAAAATCCTGGAAGACAGCTTTGTGAAAAGCTCTTTTCCGACCCAGGCGGAACTGGATCGGCTGAGGGTGGAGACCAAGCTGAGCAGGAGGGAGATCGACTCGTGGTTCTCAGAGCGGAGGAAGCTCCGGGACAGCATGGAGCAAGCGGTCTTGGATTCCATGGGGTCTGGCAAAAAAGGCCAGGATGGGGTGGGCCCCAATGGTGCTCTGTCTCGACTCGACCAGCTCACCGGTGCCCAGCTGGTCAGTTCTCTGCCCAGCCCTTCACCAGCAATTACAAAGAGTCAAGAGCAAGTCCATCTCCTGAGGAGCACGTTTGCAAGAACCCAGTGGCCTACACCCCAGGAGTACGACCAGCTGGCAGCGAAGACCGGCCTGGTTCGAACTGAAATCGTGCGCTGGTTCAAGGAGAACAGGTGCTTGCTCAAAACGGGGACCTTAAAGTGGATGGAGCAGTACCAGCCGCAGCACACAGCGGAGGACCACGGCTACGACGCCCTGTCCAGGAGAGCCGTCAAGGCCGCCGTCCCCGGGAGCCCAAAGAACGGGGGCGAGGTGGGCCCGCAATGCCACAAGGACCCCAAGAAGCTCTGCGAAGAGGACTTGGAGAAGCTGGTGCCCAGGGCGAAAGTTGGCAGCGAGCCAGCAAAAGATGGTTTGCCGGCAAAGCCCTCAGAGGCCACCGTGGACAGGTCAGAGGGCAACAGCCGAGACGGCCAGGGGAGTGACGCACACGGGGAGTCGGGCGTTGTGGATTGGGTGGAGGTGACCGTCGGAGAGGAGGATGCCACCTCGGACCGGTCAGACAGCTGGAGCCAGGCTGCCCCGGAGGGCACCGCAGAGCCGGCCGACTCGGACTCCGACAGCGTCCCTGCCGAGGCTGGCCAGGCCTAGACAGGTAATGCCAAATGCCACCTGTTTCGCCTGGGCAAGGACGAGAGGATGCTGGGTTTCTTTTGGTTGCCAGAGTTAATGGAGTTCGTAGAGTACAAAGATGATGGGGTTTTTGGTTTTGTTTTGTTTTTGAAAGGAAGGAAAGTAGGGCCTAGTAGATTTCATGTTCTCATGTAAAAGGCTGTGCCAATGGGTGACAGCACTGTGGCCTGAGGCCTGTCTGGACACCACCCTTTGAGCCTGGTCCGTTCTAAAGTCTAGTTGCAGTTGTTACCGCTTGTTTTATGATCGCTGCTATAAGAACAAAAACAAACAAGAAAAGAATATGTCCTTTCCTTTTTTTCTTTCCTTTTTTTTTTTTTTTTTTTTTTTTTTTTAAAGGGTAAGTATCTAAGTTTACTGGCTATAGATTTGGGGTCGTTTCTGTTAGCCTGAAAGGTTTGGGCATTCGCCTTGTCACGGTGAATGGAAGGTGGCCTGTGTATCTTGTTAAGTAACCCCGCTCCTTGCTCTGTTGATTGGGTGCCCCAAACCCCTTCACTCTGGAAGAGACTGGTGTAAATTAGGCCCGTGGAGCCACAGAGGCCTGGGAAGGGAGGTTACCATGGTTACTAATGGCCATCCACGTAACAGGACATGCCACCCAAGCCCTTTGGTGTTTGTGCTTCACAAGACGTCTGTGCAAATCAAGGCCTAAAGCACAGCAGCTTGCTTGGTGGTGGGCGTGGGGGGTAGTAGGGAGAAGGATCCAGGAGGGAAAGATCCACCTTTGCACAAAAGCCCTCCCCTCCCTCATGTCATCGTTAAAAATAATAAAATAAAGGTAAAGACTTCCAGAATGATTGAAAAAGTCCCAAAGGGAGCCCTGGAAATGACCATGCCTCTTTATTAATGAATTTGGACAACTTGGGCTGGCCATGCCACTCATTCGTTCATTTATCCAGTAATAAAATGAGGCACCTGGCAAAAAAAAAAAAAAGTCACTAGAACCTAGTTCCATCGGCTATGAAAAGAGCAATTTAATGAGCAGCCAATCACAGAATTCATCAAGTCTTCCTCCGAGCAAGGAGGAAGTAGTAATGGGCTGTGGATCAGGAAGCAGCTCCGACGGAAGGGGCAGACAGGAAGAGGGCTAAAGGCTGCTGAGGTCACCAATAGCGCCATCTCCGTCTGGCTGCCTCGGTTTTGTCCTCCCTCTGGCCACTTCCTTGCAAAACCCTACCAGTCTGGCTCCTCTCTCTCTTGTCAGAGTGGAAGAGCGATGGTTTTTGTCCGATCAGAATCTGCCTGAAACCTCCTTGTTTTCCTTGTCTTCTGACCTTGACCTTTTCTGATACATGATACAAGTCTACATGATTGCTTTAGACAATAGGGTCCAGTTCAATTCAGCAAACACATCCTAAACACCTACTGTGTGCCAGCCAACATTCATAACCACATCCTGAACACCTACTGTGTGCCAGCCCACACTTGTAACTGCATCTGAGGTCTGCCTAGTGAGTTTCACATATGATCCCATTTGCTCAAATTCTGTTGAACCACCTGGGTAATATTCAGGGAAGGGAAAAGGGCAGGAAGGGCCAGGGACCCCTCAGATTCCTTCTGTCTTGAGCCTCCCTGAGAGCAGTGAGGGGGGGACTTTCCTGACCCATAAGTCTCAGCAATTTTCCCAACCCCAGAGCTCCCCGAACTGCTGCGGGGAAAGAGCTTCTGCCAGATGTGCCAAAGAGGACCAAGGCCTGGTGTGGGGAGAGCTGTGAGTGGTACGGACTTTTCCCTAGCCACTGGGAAACTGCTTACTCCCTCCCCAAGCCACTGTATTTTCCTTATCGCAATTCTAATTAAAATCAGGCCATGCCCCCTCTTATCAAAGGCAACTTGACTCCGAAATATGACTGGGAGAGAATAAATCACTATCACAGTGCTTGTTTTCCTTTCTCATGGAATACAGTGCTATTCTCTCCTGAGTCCGAAGGGGAAGTCCCTACAGGGAAAATGAAAGAGAAACAGAAGCAGAAAGCCACCGTGCGGGGAAAGAATTCTAATTGTTTTGTGTTTCCCCAACGGGTAAAACTAACAGAGAAGCAGATTTTGCTAAAGCATTAGAGGCAGTACTTTTTTAACATCACAAGCTGTCCCCGGATAGAAAGGGGTGGCTGTGGGAGGCAGTGGGGTCCCTGTCCTGGGCAAAGTTCAGGGAGAGGCTGGACGTCCATGTGGCGGAAATGTTTGACTAGTGGTCGGAAGGAAACAGGCAGGATGACCTTGCATTCTCCTCCCAAAGCTGAGACCCGCTGCTCTAGGCCATCCGATCACTGGCCTCTGCTGATGGAGATGCCTCTGACCGAAGGGTAAGATTCTGTGTAGAAACCCAGGAGGTTGGGGGAAAAAAAAAAAGTATTAGCAAGAGGCCTCATGGCCAAAATCGCTGTGATACTCTTAAAAACTAAACCTGAAATGTGAACTTATCCTGCGCGGACCAGACAGAGTGCAGGGAGGGAGGGACAGGGGTCAGCAGTGAACACGATGGGCGCCGTCCATGCCGTCACGGCCTCAGAAGATGTACAACCTGCCAGGCAATCTGAGCTGTACAACTAGCACAGGGACACTCGACAAAGAGAACTGATGGCGTCTGGGGCAAGGCCTTTCGGGGAAGTGGCCTGCAAGCTGGGATTTGCTGGGGGGAGGCGATTGGGCCCAGATGGAGAAACCAGCCCTGCCTCTGCTTCCTCTTCCTCTGCCCAAGCGACTTCCCAGACTCACTGTGCAAGAGCTGCCCGCCCCACAGCCGAGTCCCGCCCATGGCGACACTCCCTGCCAAAGCCAAAGGAGCCGGGAAGTGCAGCAGTTCCCACAGACATCTGGGTGGCTTCCCCCTCCCCCCCTTTCTCCGAGTCATCCCTTTGGACTTGCAAGATGTTCCGTATTTTTTTAAGGGCCTTGTTCAGCATTTTTTCTTTACGAATGCATCTGCTTGGAAAATTCTGCATGCTCATGTCCATAAGACATGCATGACACAGGGAAGGAGAAAAACCTCATTGCATATAGAGAACCACCTTAGTTTTGAGGTTTATCTAAAAAGTGGCAGTTTTCTGCCAATCACTTGAAGAGACAGGGTTCGGTTTCGTGTATGAGACGGGGGAAATGTGTGCACTCTCATATATGCACGTGTACACACACACACACACACACACACACACGAGTTTGCTTACACCCAAGGCCCTAATTTTACAGTTGGCCTTCCTCGAGGACAAAATGAAGCAATATCTCTGGAGCACCTGCCTGTTTTGCACGGTTCCTCTGTATCCCTCTCAGAAGCCCTTGGGGCATGAATTATGAAATGCCTCGAGTTTGGGGAGCTTAACCGACCTCGGCACGCAGCTAGGAGGTGGAAAGATCCTGGATCAGCTTTCTGGCTGAGGAAAGGAAGAGCAGTAGCTGTCCACTCAGAGAGATGGATGCCACTCTTACAGACACAAAAACAGGTCACGTGTGCACTGCCTGCCTCAGGGCCAGCAGGTGGGCAAGATCAGAATCAGACTCTCCATTTGTCTGATTCCGGAGCCTGTGGGGTGGGGGGGGGGAGGGGGTGGGGGTGGGGAGACACACTGCGACTGGCTGCCTGTCCAGGAAATCATCAAGGGGCTCGTAGTGATGAAGGGATCACACAGATCACCCCTGTGATCCCCCCAGGAAGCCACCTGGTTCTGAGGCTGCCTCCCAACCTGGTCAGAGTGTGCTCAGGAAACACGTTAAAACTGGCCCCAGACGTGAAGGGCGTTCCTCTCTCCTGTCCCCGTTCCTTCCCCACCCTCCTTCCCCTCCAATGGCTTTGGAAGGGTCGTCCCTAGCCCCTGCCATCATCCACCATCTATCTCCCTGACATCTTGTCTCTGGCTTTGTGTCCTCTTCTAGGGACATCGGTCCGAATGACTCTGTCTGTGAAGGAAGAAGAGAACGTCCCTCCCAGGCTGTGGGGCCCGCCGGGCCAGACTCCGGCCGGACCTGGTTGGCTGGCCTGTCCCCCGCAGGCGCCTCCCGGAGGACAGGCGGGAATCGTTCACCGTGCCAAAGTCCTACTACTGCGTTTCCAATGGGTCCTTGTAAATAGTCGTCCCCTCTGCCCTGTCCCCCACCTCTTGCTCCACTGGAACCAATTTGTACAACTGGGGATTTTGCTACCTTTTTAATCGCGGGCAATTTCCATCTCCAGCACTACCATCCATCGCAAGGTTTTTCCCAGGAGGCGGGGGCTGGTCACATGCGTTGTTTTGTTGTTGTTTTTTCTCCTTTCCTTCCTTTTCTTTTTATTTTATTTTATTCATTTGGGGGAAGGGGTAATATTAGCATTAGTGCCATTATTATCTACTGGGTTTTAGGTAGGGAGAGTTCATTTTTAAAGGTAGATTGAAATCTGGGAGATTTTTCTCGGGGAGGCGTCGGACTCAACGTGGAGAGCGTTTGCAGAGGGCAGATCTTCCCAATCGAATCTGTTTCCACGTCTCCACCAGCCGCCTCTGAGATCCCTGTGGAGCCATGCACAAGGGCACAAGGCGTTCCCAGCGGCCTCCTGTGGGTCTGGTTTCTCAATGGCCTGGCCTCTGAGTCAGACCTGGGGCCCGACCATTGCCCGCTGGTCTGGGGAACAGGTGGCTGTCCCTTGAAAGCACCTTTTTAGATCCCCGCAGAAAGGGCTATCATTGTCATTGCTTTCATAAAACAGCAGCAGAGAGAGATCTTCCTGTCTAGATGGTACAAAGATGAACCGCACTGGTTTTCGTTTCTGTCCCTGACTGCCTTTTCTCAGTGTGATATTGGACAAGATTTCAGCTTGAAGCTTCCCCACAAATTGATTTTTTTGTTTGTTTGTTTGTGTTTGTTTTGGGCCAATGTTAGACTCCTGAGTGCACTTTTTCCTCCCAGTTTTAGTACTAACTTTTAAAGAAGAAAAACCAAGAGACATATCTGGTGTACATGTTGCAATATGATTGTGTGTGCAA